CTTTAAGCAACACTTGGTTGTTCAAGGCCGTGTGAAAGAAAGAGAAAAAAAGTGAGAAAGCACTGTAGGGCGGACAGGCATGCGACCAAGTCCCCACCCCCCCCACACACACACACCCAAACTACTGGTGCTACTGCACACTCCTTTAAAAGATAAGAGGATGATTCACTCAGACGTTCGTCACGAGTCTCCGTCAAAGACACGTCGTGCTCTGCAAACGTTGCTGTGAAAGGAAGCGAGTTGACGACAGAGCGGCAGTGAATCAAAAAACAAGTCAAGGACTCGCTCAGGTGAACGGCGAGAGGCGAGCGTCGGCGTTCGCACAAACAAAACTGGCGCCATTGAAAGAAGTTGAAGTCGCAGTCGTCATCAGTGTCTCTCAGAGCTTTTTTTTTATTTCCCATGCATAGTTTGGACAAGAGTGTAGTGGAACTGAAATGAAATGAAAAAATATGGAAAAATAACAGTTTTGACACTCGCTGTGATTTTATCCATCGTGGACGTCCGAGATTAATCATCAACAAAACACATTTCAGAAAGTTTCAGCGATGGTGAATCAACAAAGTCCTTCAAGCTGGAACCATGATGCGTTTAGAAAAAGGGGGAAAGTGCTACAGAACATAAATATATTACAAAAAAACTGAAAACATTAAGCACATTTTATACAACACAGTGCAATAAACAGGGGGGGGGGGGCAGGTTCCTCAATCTGCTTCTTCTTCTCCTTCTTCTTCTTCTTCTCCTTCTTCTTCTTCTTCTTCTTCTCTCCCTTTTAGAACCGAGAGATTAACCAGCACAGCTGTAAACATGTGTCGGGTAAAAACTTCAAACTGTCGCAGAACGAACATCAACCAGTCGTGGAAACAGAGCTCAGGCGAACGTTCACAGATCGGTGGGGAGTTGAGATGGACGACATGACTCTGAGTCGCCCCCTGGTGGCTGGCTGCAGTATAAACCTCACCTCCTCCATGTTAGCAGATAGGACATGGACCATTCAAAAAAAAAAAACCAAATCTAAATAAATATTAGATGGTTTTGTTAATTCTTATCACGCTGATGTTCGTCTTCGTGCTTCTGATCAGTTTTGATTAGTTATTTGAAAGATCATGATTGACAGCTGAAAGCAGATCGTGATTGGTCGAGAGCGTGTGTGTGGGCGGGGCCTTGGTGCCACAAGATTTTTGCTCGAAATGACGTCATAAGAACAAAGATGGCCGCTTTTGTATCCGAGATATTTTAGCTCCATTTTGTACGATCGCAGGATGAGGAGACATGTCGTCCATCTTTGTTTACAGTCTCTGAGAGCTAATGGCGTAAAACTGTAAAAATACTTTACACTAAATAATGTGATAGTTTGTGAAGTGGCACTAAAATACCCGACGTTATAATATCAGATAACTCTGGATTCTTTAAAACTGCATGAATCGGATTATTTTGGTTTCATTTGTTGTAATTTTACTGTTTCGATTGTTGTGTCTCTCGTGAATTAACTTTCCAGCAGCAGGTGAACGTAGCATTTAGCTGCTTAAGAGCTAAGAGACTGAATATTGATCTGGGTTCTACAGCGACGACAGAAACAAAAGACAAATCAGCTGGATTAAAGTCCAGATACGTCCCGGGTTTGTACGTTTACCGTTACGTTAGCCTGTAATCGATGAATTCTAATATTGACTGGTCCACGTCCTCCACTGCGGAGCATCACAGCTGCGTGTTTGAAAGTTTTAGTGTCTCACATGTTGAACAGTCAAATCCTGCAGGAAATGTTTACTTCTCAGAATTTGTGAAAAAAAAAAAAAAAAAAAAAAACAATTTTCGTTTTTAGCTTTAGGATAAAAACACGAGTTCCACAGTTCTGACTAACACTGTGTTACAACTCCAAAAGCATCATGGGAAAACTGTGGCGTAAACTGTGTGCGAGTGTGTGTGTGGGTGTGGTTATTACACATGTGCTTACTCGTCTGTGTGAGCTGTTTCTCTAACACGTGACTTTTCCCTGCTGAGCCTTCATCACCGGACAGAAATACAATCATCAAACAGAAATTAAGAAGAAGCCAAAGCACTGATGTGTTTTATGTTCACGTCTGTAAACCAAACGCTCGGTGTCAAAGCGAGTAACTAAGGATCGAAATGTGTGGGTTTTTTTTTTTTTGTACCTTAATATTCGAGGAGCTGCATCGTCCCTGTGTCAGAAACTCTCTCTGCGACCTGATGTGAGAAGCTGAGAGCGAGGAAGCTGTTCTGATCGTGTTGCTAGTCAACGAAGTACAAGAAGGGATAAAAATAAACACTCCACCGGTCCACAGGTCTTAGCATCAATTAAAGACATGAACAAAACACGAGATGCTAGCGTGTTAACAGAGTTCAGTGTGATTACTGTGAGAAGATATTACATATCTACATTTAGAAAATACACTTCAACACAGCCGGCTCCGAACGGTTCCTTCCAACAGTATGAAAAATATACAAATAAAAAATACAAATACTCTCAGACACTAGGTAGTTTTCTGTTGACATGAAATCAGTGAGGACTAAAAGATAAATATTTCACATTTCTTCTCCCTTGTGTTTTAAAGAGAAAATAAAAATTTGTGTGTATGAAAGAAAGAGAGGAAAAGTCGTCCATTTGGAAATATCACCCTTCAGTAATTAGTAACATCGTGATAACATCTGTTTTCAGCTAAAGACACTTTAGCTTCTATAGTTAGCAACAAAAAACAAAAAAGAGCCAGTGTTGAAACCAAAAGCATCATAGAATTATTTTTTCAGACATCATACACTATGCACAGGTCTTAAAAAAAAAAAAATTAACAATGATCAGGTCTTTTCCGTCAAAGAGAAACGACACCTCAGCTCCGGAAAGATTCGAATCAGCATCATCGTTACTGCGAGATCGTCAGAGACGAACGTCTCCGTCAAACAGTCAGAATCTAATCACTACCATCATAAACACACATTTTAACGTCCCATAATGCAACATACAATGAGGCCTGGGAGCGGGAGATGTTGAGTTGGGTATGAAGACAGAGAGCGATCTCAGGACGTTCACCACTGTGAGCTGCGTCCGTCTCTGCTCTTAGTGTCCTACAAACTTTGACCCATATAAGGAGGATTATCACTGTATGTTAGTAACACCACCTGCAGCAGCCGGGGCGTCGGGCCCCGCCAGGTGAGTAACAGTCATTCATTGTCATTTATAGTCACGTCGGCTGAGCGCCAGTTTGGCACCCGTGTGGGAGGACTGGCACAAAGGGACGAGCTGCTTGGAGCTTGGCGAAGGGAAGCCTCCGCTCAGAGAGATAATGGGAGGGAAGCAGGAGGAGGAGGAAGACGAGAATGTCTCGGCTCACTTGACGTGTTCGGCACTGTGGGAAGAGCAGTAGTATTTCTTGTGAGCTATGAAAGTGGAGAGGCTGCTGAACTTGATGTTGCACAGTCGACAGAAGCGGGAGTTACCGTTCTGGACGGGGGAGATCACCGTGGTTTTGGGGATGGGGGGCGGGGCAGACTGGGGAGCGGAGATGTGACTGGAGATCACGGTCGCTGTGGCCTTGTCTTGAAGGTGGGAGGATCCCACTGTCTCTCTTAGGACCTCAGGCACAGGTGACAAAGTCAGAGAGGGAGGCGCTGGGGGGGACACAGGCAGAGGGGAGCCAGCTGAAGGTGAAGTACCCCCAGGTGAAGGAGTGCTGTTTACCAGCGGGGAAACAGGAGAATTGGTTGCGCTCCTGGCCTGCCCGTTGATGCTGTCTCTGTGAACCCTGGACACCAGTCTGGACTGGCTGTTTGGGGTTGTGGAAATGGTCGCAGCAGCTCCGTCTCTTGGACTAAGGCTGGGGCTGCGGCTGACTGCGCGGCCTGGTTGCAGCAGGGCCTCCTGCGGTGGCTGAATGGTCGCAACAAGGCTGTGGGTCGTCTTGAAGTGCTCCATAAGGTCACCAGCGATGGGTTTGTTGGGGCAGTATGGGCAGACCACCTGAGTAGAACCAGCACCTGCACCTTTGGCTCCAGCTCCTGGTGTGGCTGCAAGCATGGGGGTCGTATGAGGAGGAGATGTGGCGTCAGAGGCAGGTAAGGCAGACGGATGAGGGCTGGACGATGAGCCTCGAGTCTGAGCGACCCACTCGGCGGGGAGAGCCTTCGCCTCCATAGGGTGCAGAAGATCCGGCCGCTCCTGCTGAGGCCTGCTTTTGGGAGAGGTAGAGGCGGATCTCTTGAGCCTGTGAAGCTGCTCCAAGGTGTGGGGCTGGAGTGTGGTGGCGGGGCAGTAGTAGGTTTTATGAGCCAGGTAGTTCTCGATGCTGTTGAAGCTGATGCTGCAGGCGGTGCACTTGTGATAGTCTGTGAGAGGCAGGGCAGGAAGGATGCTGCTGCTGCTGTGCCGCGGAACATCTCTCAGGCGGGGCCTCTTGCTGAGGTCCATTGGGCCGTCTCCTTCAGGGCTGGAGCTGCCCGCCGCACTGGGAGAAACTTCCTGCTTCACTGCCAAGCCCAGAACGGAGGGAGATGGAGCAGAGGCAGCAGCAGAAGCAGCGGCAGCTGCGGCGGCAGCTGCAGCATTAGCTAAAGCTTCAGTTCTTGCCATGTGGATCTCGTACATCTTCTTCCTCTTACGTGTGCGAATGGGCTGAGGGTGGAAGGCTGCTCCGCTGGTCGCCTTGGCCATGTGTACGGATCGGTGGTTGGATGGGTCGTGGCGAGACGCGCAGTAGAAGCGTTTGTGAACAGTGTAGTTCTCATGACGGCTGAAGCGGATGTTGCAGGCCACGCAGAAGGTTCTGTTGGGATCATCTTCCAGGTCCTCGGCAGAACCGCTCGCTGGACTCTGGCTGCCTTCGCTTGCTCTTCCTCCTACGCCCCCTCCTCCCGCACTTGTAGCCCCACCTTCCCCTTCAGAAGAAGATGATATTCCCTCTCTCACTGCAGGAGTTTCTATCTTCACCGCCAACACTCTCCTGGTTTCTGTCGCTCCAGCAGGAGAGTCAGAGTTCGCAGGAGAAGCCGAGGCAGCTCTACTTGCTGCTCCGCCCTGAGGGGAGGCGGAGGAGCCATGCGCTCCACTCGAAGGCACCGAGGCTGAGGTTGCATCCCTCGTCAATCCAGGGCCTGAATCTGAGGTGGCTCCTTCTGCTTGGTGCCTGCTGGAGCAGTAAAGCCTCTTGTGTGCATAGAAGTTGTTGATGTTGTTGAAGGTGATGTCGCACTCAAAGCAGGTGGCTCCTTTGTGAGGAGGAGTGGCTGCGGCTGTGGATGCGGTCGGACCAGCAGGGAAAAACGCTGCTGGGCTGTTCTGAGGAGCCGGCTGTCCCTGTTTCAGACGACTGTGGACCATCTCAGACATTTTTGCCAGTATTTCCGAGGCCTGGGGCAAAATGGCCGCCTCAGGGTTAAACATGTACTGTGGCAAGAACATTGCTCCTCCGGGAAGAACCGACTCTGCACCTCCTACAGGCGCAGGGCTGGAACCAGGAGTGGGGCTCGTTGGTTCCGCCTTCACGGTGGTGGTGGCTGGACTCTTCGGAGAGCCTGACGTCTGACTAGATGAAGTGGCGATGTGTCCCTCTGTCGTTTTCCTTATGTCTTCTCGGTTCCCCCCCTCTCCATCAGCCTCCTCCTCCTCCTCCTCTCCATCCTCCGTGATCTCCATTTGTTGGATCTCTGAGTCTGAATGCGGCTCCTCCTTTATCTTCAGCTCAGTGATTGCTGCAGCAGGAGGACTGTAGTTCCGGGGAGTGGCTGAGCTGCCGTTAGCGCCCGGGCTGGATGAGTCCGGTTTAGGGACACAGGCTAGTGGCTCCCTTTCGTTTGGAGACAGCTGGAGCTGAGGGGCGTCGACTAACGATGGGGTGATTTGGCGAGGGGTGGGGCTCCTCTCGGCCGGGACCCTGACCTCGAGGTGGGTTCGTACGTGCTGCTGAAGCTGGGCGGGAGAGTCAGAGTTGTGGCCGCACACTTGACACTTCAGCACCACTCCGGAGTCTCCTGGACTGAGACCTGAGACAGAAAGTCCAGATTAGTCAAACAATAAGATTGAGCAGACACTGATATCGAACCCTATATTAACTCACAATGACACGCTTTTCCACACGGACAGAACCTTGTTAGGTTCCGTCGTTCTCTGAATCTAAGTACGGATCCCCCGACTGAACTATGCTAATCAAGTTTTCATATTAACTCAATACTCAAAGTTTATTACAACAGATCTTCAGAAGAAAAAGAAAGACTCCAGTTTAGTTCAGTTTTCTTTTAGTCACGAACACAGATTGTAAATAAAGATGGGTGACAAGACGGCGCCCCCTGCTGGAGGAACCAGTTCAGGTGGTTAATCTGTTTCCAATGATCTGACCCCCTCCCCCCACCCCAGTTCTAACCCTAACTGGCAGTATTCTCCACGATGTCCCTCGTCCAGCTTGAAGTTGTGAAAGTGCCTGTTGATGAAACGTCCGTGTCTTCTGGTAACAACAATGGTAGCGACTCACCCGTGGACAGGGGCAGCTTGGGAAGTCCCGGCCCTGGGGAGTAGACCTCGCTGCGAGACCCGGGCTGACACACCATGTGGCTGGTGACCAGGTGGCTGTAGAGGATGTCCCTCGTGGTGGAGACAAAGCCGCAGCCATGACACAAGCCGTTCAGCGTGTCTGTGTGCACCTTAAGGTGGCGCTCACAGTTTGCTTTAGTGGTGAAGGCTGAGAGGCAGATGAGACAGACGAAAGGACGTTCACCTGTGGGAGGACAGAGACAGACCATGCGTCAGAGGGACGGAAAAAGAAGATCGGACCTCAGTGTCTTCACGCCATCTGCTGGTCAGACATGAATCCTTCTCTCACCGCTGTGTGTGCGCATGTGGATCTCCAGAGAGCTGGCGCTGGGGCAGCTCTTGTTGCATTGTGGGAAGGGGCAGACGCGTTCGTTGGGGTACGACTCCTTGGGCTTGTCTTGCGGAGGTGACGAGGCTGCAGCCGGCTGCTTCTGACGGCTGGCACAGTAATACATGAGGTGAGCCTGCAGGTTCCTCTCACTGCGGTACCAGATGCCACAGTCCTTACACGGGAAAATGTCCTCTGATGGCGAGAAGAACAGAAACACGACAAATGAGTCGTAGAAAACATCATGTTCACACAAAGAGGACTGACGGAGAAGCCGGGGTCTGAATAACCAGGTGACACACTTCAATCTCACACTAACATTTACTTTTCATTGTTTATTATTTCATTCATGCACACGGGCGGGAAATGAGGATGTTTTGGTTAATCCAACAATTCGGTGAGAATATACAAAACAGCAGGAAACTTGGTTGAAGGACGAACGACGGGTCAGAGAAGTTTTAGTGTGAACCGGGATCAGAGGATGGATCCAGGAATTATTTTTTGCGTTCTTCAATGTTGTGAGATTTTCCAACATTTTCCGTCTTTTCTCAGAGAACATTTCCCAGATTTCTGTCCGTCACACAAACACACCCACAAGCCATTGCTGTATCCATGGCAACAGGGCACATAGTCCACGTGGACAACAGCTTATTATAGATATTAAGATTATAGGGGTTGCAGGAATGTGGGAACGTGTCACGTGATCATGTTTGCGTTGTTTTGGGAAACACAGGACGTGACTGACAGGAAGCAGCAGAGGCGTGTGGGGAAAACACTCAAAGAGCTGCAGTGCCATCTTGTGGCCAAAGACAACATTACAGCTCTCACACAGTTATTGGTTTTGCATGAATGGAAGAAGAGAGTAAATTGCTGAGGATGTCTTTACAGGAAGTATTTGTTATATTTGTGTACATTTTAAACTCTTTAATGAACCTTTGACTCCACTGTAGAGAAGAGATTGTCTGAATATCAACAAAACTCCACTCGATAACTGAAACTACATAAAAATACTCTATGTACTCAATTGTACAAACAAGAACACGTACATACTTTATTCTTCAGGTTTTCATTCCTTAGACACAATACTCACTATTGACAACGGCAGTGGCCAAGATGGCGGCCATGCCAGCTTGCTGTGGGAGGAGCTGAATGTCGGAGCGCAGCGTCGCCGGGTACGGTGGCTCCTCCTTCACCGCAGGTTGATTCTGGGTAACGTGGCCGAGCGGAGGAGAGAGCTGGGCCAGAGGAGGGGAGGAGGGGGAGCCGGGAGGAGGAGGAGACAGGGACGCCAGGAGGCCTTCGCCCGCCGCCAGCTCCCTGGTCACCTTACAGAACAACCGGTCGCCTGAAAACACACAAAACAACTTGAAACATTTAAAAGTGAACTGAACGTCTCTTTTCATAGCAGCTGATCTGGAACGCTCACTTTTATTTTTTTGTTAATCTGTTGAATGTGCATTGTTACTTAAGTCATGAAGTTTATAATGAATTTAAAATAGTATGAGAGAGGATTTATCTGATTATTCTGAAGAATGTAGTTTGTGGTGATGTTGTAAATCTGCATTTCTATTTTTATCATAAAGAGGTGGACAAAATAATAGAAACTCGGGCGCCGTGAACGCCCTGCTAACGACGCCTCGGAGCGAGACACAGACTCAGAGGCGTTTTTTTATTGACAGACTGAGTTTGTTCTGGGTGCGGTCACTCACCTCGGCTGTAGATGCTACAGTTGGCAGCTGAGGGGTCAGAGGTCAGAGGGAGTCGAGTAATCCAACAATCTGGATCTTCACACATCAACTTAGAGCTCTGCAACACAGAGACACGAGAGGTGAACGACCTTTTCACTGAAGAACTATTTGTACCGACACGGAGGGTGAAGCCAGTCAAACATGTCGGCTCCAGCTCTCTCACATCGGATGTGATAAAAACTGTGATGACATTTTTCCTAGTTTTACCTTTTATTTACACGAGAATACAAATAAATACACAGAACAATCATCCACCAGCCTCTGATCCCCACTGAGCTTCACTGCAAAACCTCCGGCAGATATTTCTATAAGTGATAACTTAGAGTAAACAAATAAGTCCATCTATGTCTTTAAAGGTCTGGAACCACAGTTTCTATGTATCTGATATAAATCAACATTTTAATCTGTGTCAATTGTCAAAGTTCATTTTTTACCGCAGGACATCAGACCAAGAGTCTAATCTGATAAAGTTGTATTAAATGTTCTGTTCATGTTTATATCTTTACATCCTCAACACAGTTTCACAAATTAAATTGATGCTCCTCAAACATTTGTTGCCTCCCAGTTTTCTTTTTTTAACAGATTTATATGAAAACACGAGCATCGATTGTTGTCGAGGGTGAAGACACAGTCACACGGTGTCGTCCAGCGTGTGGCCGCTGGTAAACACTGTTTATAGAAAAGACTGGCAGCGAACACACGGTGATTACAACCCCAGATGGAAATGAGGAAATGAAGGGAGCACGGGCCGAACAAAGCCACGCAGGAAAAAAAGGAGAAGAAAAAAGAGAAGAGGAAGAGAAGAGGAAGAGAGACCCCGGGGGAGAGTGAGAGAAGAAAGGGAGGAGAAAGAAGATCTGATGAGGTCGACAGGCGGCTATTCACACAGCTGCCATAATAAGATCCACAGTGGATACAGTGGACAAAGGCCGGAGAGTCGGCATCCAGTGTCTGTAGGTATGAGAGAGAGAGGGAGGGAAGGGAGAGAGAGAGGGAGAGGGAGGGAGGGAGGGAGAGAGAGAGAGGGAAGGAGGGAGGGAGGGAGAGAGAGAGAGGGAGAGAGAGAACAATCTTGTCTTTGTCCACACGAGGTACCAGGAGTATTTCCTCTGACAATCACTCCCAGGACACAGGTTTATCCCATGTCTCCATGACACACACACACACACAC